TTTTTTAAAAATATTTTTATAGGTGGACACAATATCTGTATTTTATATTTATGTGGTGCTGGGGTTGAACCCAGTGCCTCACGCATGCTAAGTGAGCCCCCTCTACCTCTGAGCCACAACCCCAGCCCCTCAAACCATTCTTCATGACCCTTTTCCCAGCAATAATGTCAATCTCTACTTCTAGATTATAAACTTGAGTTCAGTTTTGCTTTCTTCTGCCGTTCAGAGCCTTGCTTAGTAGTGCCCAACCACATTTTGTTTGGGTACTGGGGATTGGACCCAGGGGTGCTTTGCCACTGAGCTACATCCCCAGTCCTTTTTAGATTTTTTTAGACAGGGTCTCACTAAGTTGCTTAGGGCCTCCCTTGCTAAATTGCTAAGGCTAACCTCAAACTTGCGATCTTCCTGCCTCAGCCTCCCAAGGTGCTGGGATTACAGGTGTGCACCACTGCACCTAGCTAGTAGTGCCTAACACATATTAAGGTCATTTTGGGGGTTCTCTGTGTGTGTGGTGCCAGTGTCCTGCCGGCACCCCAACCCAGGTAGTTACCTGCCCCACTCCCCACTACTGGAGTTTGAACCCATGGCTTTGTGCACGCTAGGCAAGAGCTGTACCATTAAGCTACATACCCAGCACTCACAGCTTTTCTTATGGGAGGTGGGTACTGCAAATTGAACTCAGGGTGCTTTACCAATGGTAGATCCCTAGTTCTTTATTTTTGGGGACAGAGTCTCACTACATTGTTGAGGCTAGCCTTGAACTTGCAATCCTCCTGCCTCAGCATCCCAAGTTGTTGAGACTACAGGGGTACACCACCACACCCTGCTCTAGGGAGTATTTTCAAAATCATTTCTCATTAGGAATAGCTATTTTCAAGAAATAAGTTTCACTACTGAAGTAGTTCAATTTAGCAAATCCTTTATGTAAGCTTGCTACCCCAACTACTTACTAGACTTACTTTTTATTTTTTTGGCAGCAGCGGGGTAGGGTACTGGAGATTTAACCCAAAGGTGCTTTACTACTGAGCTACATCTCCAGCCCCTTTTAAAAACTTTTGAAATACAAGGGGTCTAAATTGCTTAGGGCCTTCTAAATTGCTGAGGCTGGCCTAGAGCTTGCAGTCCTCCTACCCCAGCCTCCTATCACTGGGATTAGACATGCGCCACTGTGCCTGGCCTTACTAGACTTCTTAAGTCATCATTACTTTTCAGTTACTCATCCACTTTTTTCTCAGCAACCAACATATTTTCATTGAACATGTTTGCCATGGAAGCCTTCATTATCACTTGGCATTTTCATTTGCTTAAATGCACTGCTCACATCTTTCTTAACTTCTGTGGTGTTGTAACAATGCCCTTAACCCACTGTACTCTCTGCCTCTACAGACAGGCATCTCCCAAAACCTATGTGCATAGCTGTCATTTCACTTACACAATAAACATCTCCATACTGGTAAGTTATTGTGTTGCTTTAGTTTTATAAGATACTGATGTTTCATTTCATCTTTTATAAATTCTGAATGGTTGGTCTTTTTAAAAAATTGTTTTAATTAGTTGTACATGACCGTAGAATGAATGGTAGGTCTTGGTGCACCCATTTTACAGATGAACTAGTAAATGGATTTTTTTAGATGTGAATTCAAGTCATTTGACTCTGAGCAATCATTTATCTTTGAAGGGCTGGTGACTTCCAAGACTATCTGTGCACCACATTCCTTCAGAGAACAAGGAAGTTATCACAAGTCTCATCACAGAGATTGGGATCGGAGCAGAGTGCTACTTTATAGTGATATTGGCTCATTAGTCTATACATCAAGTATGAATTCCTCATCTTAGCGCACTATAATTTGATTCTCTGCCATCTTATCTCTCTCTAAAACCAACTCATCTCTATTCAGCTTCGCTTCAAGTGTTTATTTCAGTAGTAGTTCTAGAAACTAAGACTGGTCACTCTTCTAAAACCATTACTTTGAATAATGGTAATTACAAGATCTGAATTTTAGTCTCCTATGTGATTGTGGGAACATATTTTTCTAGACCCATTTCTTTTATGTGTGTATTTAGAAGGTAGAACTTTGTTTAAAAACTGGATTGTTCTCTTAGGCCTAATTTGTACCATTCTATATTCCTTTTGTAACAATGTTGGTGGGGGAAAGGGGCCTGCTGGGGTTTAAACACCTCTAGCAACCTTTTTTGGCTATATTGAGGAAGCTTTGTATTCACACACAATATATATTGAGGAAGCTTTGTATTCACATACAAGCATGATCACACAACAATGCAACGTATGAGAATATGCTGTTATATTGATAGTCTCAGGAATTGCAAGGTCTTTGGTCACAGCCCTCTCTGAGCCTGTTTCCTTATTGCTTTTTCCTGATCCACAACCCCTTGTGGTTCTTATAGGTTTGTCCTGAAGATCAATATTAAAAGGGAAAGTAAGGTTAAAAAACAAAAAACTGTACTTGGGAACAAAAAAGCACTATGCCAGTATAAGTTGTTAGAAATGATATTGTTTCTGATAGCTGATAAAAATCATCAAAGAAAAGTGCTTCCATAAAAGTTTTATTTATCCCCACAACAACCCTGTGAGGTAGGGTGATCAGGGCATTTGAAGATGAGAAAACTAAGTCTACATTACTTTTTCACGGCTATACTGCATAGTAAATAAGTAGAAATTGAGATTTTTAAATGTCCATAACTTTATACTGATTTATGTGGAAATAGGTAGAGAGAATATTAACTCCCCCCTACCTTAATGCCAAAAGGACACTGCCTTGAAAAATCCCATTCAAAAGATGAAAGTAGTATTCCATTGCTTATTTCTACAAAGATTTATAAAATAAAAAAATAGTGAAATATTTTACAGTTTATATATATGTATATATATATTTATATATTTATATAATGGTCTCATTCAGGGACATGTCCTTCAGCTGTGTATATGATCAACTATTCCAAGTCCTAGAAATGCAAACTCTTAAAAAATATGAAAGACAAAAATGGTAATGAGCAATAGCCTCAAACTTCTTTATTATTCCTCCATGTATCTTGAATAAGTTCTGTGAAATTTGGTCCTATTTTCTAAAAAAGGAAAAATTTAAAAAAAAAATTTGTAACTACCACAGAGATTTCTGATAAACTTTTATTTTGTTGCCTACTCTCAAGCCACTGCCACATCATTTAGAACAGGGATTTCCCAAACCAGGAAGAGCTTTAAAAAGACCAAACTCTCCAAAGTATATTGTTACATTGTGTGCATGTATGAATATGTAAAAATAGATTGCATCATTACATACACCTCTATAGGGGGGGGAAAACCATCTGGCCCCATAATGAGAGTTTTCTAGGGACAGGCTTTGGGAATCTTACTAGAAAAGCTCCTCTAAAATTTTTGTGAGTGTGTCAGGGGGTAGGACAGCACAGGATATTGACCCCAAGGAGTACTTTACATTGAGCTATATCCCCAGCCTTTTTAAATGTTTTAGAAATTTGAGAGAGGGTCTCACTATGCTGTCTCAAATGGACTTTCTATCCTCCTACCTCACCTTCCAGAGTTGGAGGGATTACAGGTGTGTGCCACCGGACCCAGCTCCTTAGGGTAATCCTAATGATGTGAGGTCTGGGAATCACCAAAGTATCTTAAAGTAATAGTATCTGAAATAAATAGTATATAAACTTATTTTGCTCTCTTAACCTCTTTTGAAAAAGGTCTCAAATAATTTTAGCTCCAGAACTTTTGCCTCTAGGCAATTAATTTCAATTCAAGATACAGAGAAACATTTTATAAAAATGTATCCTTGTCAGTGATATTTAGATTCCAATAATAATTTAAGTAGCATTTAAATATGACATACTGAGTTTTGTGGTTCTTACTCTGAAATTTTTAAGTGTGTATTATAGAAATTCCTAGCAGGCTTTCAACTCACAGGAAGACATGAAAAGTGATGACATAATCAAGTATATCACAGCACTGAAACCATATACTATATTCAAATATAACTCATGAGAGGAATAAGAAAGTGAATGAATGACAACCTAAGGCCTTTTGGCCCATACATTTTTGTTCCCAGTCCACTCTTCCCCTATAAGGGGAAATAAAATAAACATTCTTTCCTAGTTGCTTGGCATAGTTATTCGGTGGGTAAATATTAGCTAAGTTAATTTAGACAAGATTAAAAGATAACAAATAAATACCTAAGAAGACAAAGAGAAGTCAGATCAGAAAACCTTAACTAGCTAATGAAGTAGTACATAACACCATAATATTAGTACAAGTAAATGAAGGCTTCATTGTCCTTTACATTTCATGTTTTTATGACTGACACAGATGTGAAAGAGATCTGGTCCTTATGAAGAATTTTGTGCTCGCTGGAAAGATCTGTAGGCATAATGAAATGTTTTCTTCCTTGATGAGATGAAGTCTTCTGTTTTTCAGGCAATTGACAACAAAATAATGAGAAGCGAACATCTTTAGAAGGTCGAATGAAAGTAATATCTAGTTGCAAAAGTCATTGGCCAAAGATAACTTCAAAAAAAAATTGTTAACCCTATTTTTTTAAAAAAAGAAAGCCAGAGAAATATATATA